TCATAGAGACCAAGCAGACCAAGACCCACTATAAAAAGAAATCCATTTCTCTTATAATTTTCCTTTATGTTTACAAGCAAGGCACTATATCAAAATTTTTATAATTATTGTCAGTACAAGCATATGGAATTCAAGTAATATTTAATCATTTTCTAATAATAAGAACAAGATAAAGAGGAACAAATCATATAATTTCTGAAACATTTTTGGATATCAGAAATGGTAGCATCCTCTTCTCTTTCCCCTTAGTAATTACAACACACACTATTCAATTTCCCTGGCAAGTTGGACAGGAATAGGCTTCGTTCTAAACATATGAACTATTCACAGGATGTTTTAACCTTAAAATACAAAACATTTTAGTGCTCTGGTGTAAAAAACATTGAGAAATGATCAGATACTGTTTCATCTACTGGGTTTTTTGTGATGACCTGTAAGGTATATTTTATGCCCACACTGAGTTTACTGAATTTATTTTTTTCATTTTCATTTACTCTCTCTTCCACTATACTTTAAACTGAAAAGAGACAGAATGTTCTGCCTACAGAACCCATGACAAAATCTCAACTCAAGTCAGTTTAAATTTAAAATAAATAAGTATAAATTTTTTGAAAATAATTTATATGCCAACATAATTTCCCAGTTGAAGGAGAAGGTACTGACAGGGTAGACTGAGTGGCTTTCAAAAGAAAATGCAGCCTGTCCATTCCTCAGTTCTGCTTCTTTGTGTTGGCTTCTTAACTCAGGGAGGCTCCCTTTAAATGATGATAAAATATTTCTCAAACTGGGCATGGTGGTGCCTGAGATCCCAGCACTCTAGGAGGCTGAGGCAGGAGGATCACAAGCTCAAGCCCACCCTGGACAATCTATGACTTACGGAGATGCAGTCTCAAAATTTAAAAAAAAAAAAAAAATTAAAAAGGGTTGGAACTATAGCTCATTATGAAGATCCTGGATTTTTTTAAAAAGCCATTTCTTTGTAGTGATAGGTTTTTATTAACTTCACAGGTAGAATCCCAAAACATGAACATACTCCTTTCCCAGTAAATACGGCAGAGGCCCTAGGGTGCAGTGTGATCAGCCTTGCTTGCTAAGGGAACATGTCCACCTCTATCCGGGCACTTAGTCCAGAACAAACAGTGCCCTGGGGGCTCAGATTTGGCACCGTGTCCATTCCAGGAGTGCAGCATAAAGTCAGCCCTCCCTAAACACAAGCACAAACAGTTCCTTGCAGAGAAACTAGACTCAAGGGGCAGCGGAGAGAGAAGCTGAGAAATTCCCTCCCGTCCTATTTCACATCTCCACCTACGTTCATTTCACCTTGCTTCGTCAACATCCTGAAGTTCAAAACATTCCAATCCAAAGTGAATTCTCCTCTGAATTAAAGTTTAGAGAAAGTCTTCCACATTTTGGGTTGGTTCTTTCTCAGCTATGGGAACTTTTCCATCAGAAGGCAGGGTACTTATTTCATGCACAAAAGTTATTCCCAGAATACACCATTGTTAAGATTTAGTGATATCCAAATGGAACATCACTCAGCTATAAAGAAAGATAAACTCGAGGATTTTATATGTAAATGGTCACAACTAGAGACCATACTCCTAAGTGAAATAAATCAGACCTGCATGTGCAAGTACCGCATTGTCTCACTAGTGTAAAACCTGAAAGAGTTAATAAAAACTCAGAGGTATGATAGACATTGTGAAATGATAGGAAAATGCTCAAGGGTAAAGGGCAGCTGGGATGGGAGAAGGGAGAAGGGAAAGGAGGAGAAAGTTTGTATATATGTATATACAGGATCGTTAACATAGTTGATCTACTGTCTTCTATTTCTTTGCTGAAAAAAACTGTCAGTGAGTCCTTGATTGATCAATATTTCATGTCTTTATCTGTTTTCCTGAGAAACCACTTTGAAGATATCAATATGTAATACAACAAGCACTGTTAATTTCCTACCACTTTGTTTGTAAGTCTGTATTGTCTGTACTGTTCTTTTGCTATTTTGTAAAAGCTTGTCTGTCTGTTAATATTTTCCCCCTTTTATTTTTAAAATTAAAAAAAAAAGATTTAGTGATACCCGGTACAGGGAGGGAAGATGGATTTACCTCGGCAGGACGCCAGGAAGCACATGCAGCTAGCTGAAGCTCATGACCGTGGCCCTAAACTCACTGGGAATATTAACCTGCACGCTATAGAGCTATCAGATCTGGGGTGCAGAGCCTCCATCAACTGCCTCCCTCCTTACAAAATAAGCTTGAGACAGCACTGCCTTCTGGAAAAACCATACATTTGCAATAAGAACAAGGCAAGCCCCAGCTCTCATCTGAGAGTTCTTCCTTCTTTCATACTGTGGATCCTACTGGATTTCCTTTTCCCCTTGGAGCTCGGGGTTCCTGGCACCTAGGTGCTGCACTGCTGGAGACTTTTCCAGTCTTACATTTAAGCAGCCCCTGCCACTGACCTTACTGAAGGCCGGCTTCTGTCTAAGACACTCTCCTCTAAAGTAAGCTGCCATGCTGTCTCATTTTTACTTCAGCGGGAAAACTCTTTTTTCAGATTCCCAAGCTGAAGCTGTCGCGATGCTTCTTTGTGCTGTGCCCCTGGAGGAAGCCAGTACTTCGGCTGCACGTCCTTGTGACACCGCCATTCCTGGCTCGCCTCTGCTTTCGAATTCTGCAAAGCTCTCAGCCTAGAAGTTCCTTCAAACCACCGGCAACACCTACTTGCCTACCTGCTGTGTGGCTCTGAAACTCAGGGACTCTGGTAGTTTCTCCTCTGAGGTTGTGAATTCAAGAATTTGCACTCACTTCCTCCTTGACAATGCCCACATTTGCAAGCATTCACCTCTCTCCCACAGAGTTCTCATGTTTCCAGGACACTGCATCCTGCCTGAAATGGGGAGTGGTCCGGTGTGGCTGAAGCCAAGCTGCAGGGTCTGTTCCCCCAGCCAAAAAGTCACCAGTGGGTAAGAGCCCTCAGCTAGTCCAGCTAGGATCAGTTGCATGGCTTTTGCTTGTAAAAGCAAGAGAAAAGCATGTTTTCTGCCCCTACTGGTTTTCTGCCCCTACCCCTATGAGCCTGTGCCTGGCAGCCAGCTCACAGCTATCAGACAGCCCATGAGAAAAGGGCATGGAAAGCAGCGGCTGTCCTTATCGAAGGACCACCGCGAGGACTTGCGTTTGCATTATAGAGTAATTGACAGAACTCTAATTGACTCAACTCACCGAGAAACTCCTCTCTGAGAACAGAGTTCTGTGTCTATGGCACGGTCCCTTCTTACACACACACACACACACACACACACACACACACACGTACTCACTGCTGGAAAGGCCCTGTCCGGCGAGCGCAGGTTTTATTTTCCCCCAAACCCAGAAGTTACTCAGAACCAAGACTAAATAGGTAGGTGATCAGTCTGAGTAATAGCACTTTTGAGTTTTTAAAACCGAGGAGAACTTTTTACTTGGGAGTGATTCCCTTGCTGCCAAAGTTTTGGCTCCCAAGCACTTTTTTTTTTTTTTTTTTCGAGCAAATATAACCACTTACTTTTACTGTGAGAAGAAAATGTTTTCATGTCTTCCTTGCATCTTAGTGAGTGCTGGCTTTTTTCTGGCATTCTTAAATATTTAGATTCTTAAAAAATCTCAGGAGTAGCTAGTTGTGGGGGGGTGCTTTCACACCTGAACATTCTGAACATTCCTTCCTCAGGGATAAAATACCGAGTTTACTTTGTGGAATTGCCAAGGTAACCAGGACCCCTGCACGTTAACACCTGCGTGTGACGTCACGGCAGGAGCCACAAGTACAGCGGACGATTCCAAGCCGAAAGGGTCTTTGGCTTCGGCTGGCGCACCCAGCAGCCTAACAGGATACAGGCCCAGACGGCCGCATGTCTGCGTGGCCGCACACGGATCTTCTGCACATTTGGAGTTCTTATTTTATAGAATTAGCTGCCATTATTCCTTTTAGCTCCCCAAACTGCCTCATTATATGTTCCAGCGAAGGGGCTGGATATAATAAACCTTGGCAAGAATCACTTAATCCATTTTAGTCCTCCAAGAAGTACTATTCCCATAGCAATGCGAAGATGACAGATTTGATCCTACTTTTTAAAATATCTCCAGTGAAAGAGTTTTCACCAGTAACTTAATTCAGAACCAAAGATTCTTAAACTCTGGGGTTTTTTAAAAATTGTTCTTATTGTTGTTAAAACAAATAATGACACAATTCTTTTAATAAAACCGTGGTAAGAAAGATATAGTACATGTCTCGTTGATATCTTTTTAACTAAGGATGACTCCTTGAGAAGCTTTATAGGTAAACTGACAGGATGTAAGGAAGCCAGATTCTTTAATAGCTTGTCAGGCTTTTCTACAAATTTACTCACAGTGGGGGGCTGGGGATTTAGCTCAGCGGCAAAGCGTCTGCCTGGCAAGCGCAAGGTCGTGAGTTCGGTTCCCGGTACCGGGGGAAAAAAAAAAAAAAAAAAAATTACTCACAGTGCTTTCTGAGGTAGAAATAATGAAAAGGAGATTTTTCTCTGGAACTTGGCTTTCCTAATCCAAACTAGAAAGTGATAAGTTAATCTTCTGTAACATCTTCTTTTGGAGAAGCCCCAAGAACAGCCATTTCATTTATCTTCATGAGGCAATTGTGGAGTTGACGGAAATACATGCTTCATTTTTCACTTTAGAAATGAATTCCTAAGGTCCCTCATGCAGATTTCCTCATGAGCAAACCATGAAAATCATGTTTAAAAGCACTGATGTCTTTTATGATGACTTAGTTGTTTAAACTCTCCAAAATAGAATAAAATGGGTATGGGCCCAAAATAAAATAAAATTAATGAATAAATGCCTCTGCTTTTATATTAATTTCTTTTAATTTTATAAAAAGTATATGGAAGGAAACAAGAGCTAGGATATAGATTAAATTGCACATAATGCCTACTATATAAAATGGGAAGCAGAAAGTTCATCTACCAAATCAATGACAATGAATCATTAGAACTGCAAGCCATTTTATTTATCAAAAATACCTGTTAAAATCTACTTCCTCTTGGAAAAGAGAAATACATTGAGGGGAGGTACAGAGGGCTTAGGAGTGGTACCAAGCTCTCAGCAGCAGGGAGAAAGTCACAGCAGCGGTGAGGAATTGGGAAACTAGGGAAGCCTGAGGCAGAACAACGCCAAGAGCAAAGGAGATCTGAACACAGCCATCAGTACAAGTGAAAATGGGAGTGAAAAAAATCAGTGGTGGAATGAATTATGCATGTAAAAAAAAAAAATGCATCTACAGAAGAACTAGATCTAGGCCTACATCCAAGTACCCACTTCAGGAAAGAAGGCGAGAAGCCTAAAACATAAGATGGCGTGCTCCCTCATCTATCATCCCCACAGTCCCTTGCTTGCTCACCGCCTCTGCCTTCCCTGTGAGCCTATTAAGCAGGAGGTCAGAAGAACTAAGGCACTTTTTCCGCTCTTAGTTGAAGCCTCAGAAGCAAGCTAAGAGGCTGTGGATCACTTGGGATTAGAGCGAAAAGAGCTTATTGAAGCAGGACTGGCAGTAGGTCTTGTCGTTCTGCTCCCGGAAGATGCCCTTGGACAGCTGCGTCAGGCAGAAAGCACACACGAAGTGCTCGGGGTGGAACCTGTGCCCCATGGCGCTGATGCACCGGCCGGTGATGGGCTGCCCGCACCCACGGCAGAGGGTGCCCCGGCGCTGATGGTAATGCAGCTCGCAGAACGGACGACCATCCAGCTCAAAGAAGGAGCCCGTGGAGAAACTGCTGAAGCAGTCCTGGGAGTGGAGAGAAAACAGGAAAGGAATGTGTAGTCAAGGAGGTAAAGGTCAGCAAGTCCAACTGTCGGCCTTGGAACTCCCACCAGGGACCTGCCGGTTGTAGGCATTTCCCTCAAGTCCTGGACGAACCGAGGCCAACCTGTGTGGAAGACTTCCGAGACGGCTCTCCTTGAAGGAAGAGTATTTGTCTCCATTTTGGCTAAAGCTGGCCCTACTTCCATGTACTGATACGTACAGAGCTGGCTAGGACATTTCTTTATCCCCTCGGGTGTTTTTAAGCACTGCGAAGGGCTCTAGCCAAGGTGCCGATGTGTGGCCTTAAAGCAGTGTGGCAGGCAGTGAGGCCCCGCCTACAGTTCCCGGGGAGTATGCGTGAGCTAGGCCGAGGGAGGAGTGACTGTGGCTGGGACTGAGGCTCCAGAAAGAACCGGATGTCTCAGGGCATGAAGAGGAGACATCAGAGCTGAACCACTGACCCCAAACACAAGACACTTCCTCAAACTGCGCTATGCAGGTTACTCCTTCTGCATATCTCTCTGCATAGTGCAGAGGGGCTATTATGCCTCCTACCTAGCCCCGCACACAGCACTCACCACTCCCCTATCCATTTTTTTTTTTTTTTTGGTACCTGGAATCGAACTCAGGACCTTGTGCTTGCCAGGCAGGTGCTTGTGCCACTGAGCTACATCCCCGGCCTCCTACTCACAAATTAATAAAACCCAGGTTCGGCCCTGGGTGGAGCCTTTGTTCCAGCCAGCCCTTGTTCTGACTGGACTTAGGACCCCCTTGGCTCCATGCCACTGCAGATGTGTGTTTGTCCCTTTATTCATGCTGTGGGTTGCACTAGACAGGGTAGGCTGGGATTACTTAATGGAATTCCATTAACTTTTCCCTGGGATTACAAATTTGAACTCCTCCAGACCTCGATGAGGCTGGCCAAGGGGATCTCTATAAGCCCATCCACTTACAAACTGGATAAGCACATGCTCATAGCGGATTTTGAGTCTCACTTCTCCACAAATTCCTCCCAACAGAGGAGACCCCTCTGACTCGAAATCCAAAGACAGCTGAAGGTACAGACCCCGCACACAAAGCACTCGGGGTGCCACACCGCGTCCATGGCTGACAGGTAGTTTTCCAGCACCGGGTGGTTGCAGCCATTGCACTTGGGTGAGAACATGGCCAAGAAGTCCTTCCGGCAGTACGGCTTCTTATCCTTCTCGTGGAAGCCTGGAGAGAGAAAAGCAAGGATTCAGGGTTGCAGTATGAGTCCGTAAACCCTCACGATGGCACAGAAGAGGTCAGGGTCTAACCTCTACCAATCCCACATCAGAGGCCTGCTGGGGAAAATTCAGTGGGATGGCGCAGGTAAAGGGCCTCAGGGCTGTGCATGGGTCCCAGGGAGCCCTGGACAAGTCCTGAGGGTGACTCCTCCTCAGTGCCTCAGACCAACTGCCCCTTGGCCTGGACAGCTCTGTCCGGACGGTGATACGCTGGCCTTTCCTCCTGACCTGAGAGTCAGCACCGACTCATCACAGAGGCATCTCTCCGGTCCCCTTTGTCTCCTGATCTTTTTCACAGTTTCTATAGCACCGTCGTTAGAGCATTCTCCATTATCTGAAACCATCTTTCTGGTCTCTCTTCCCCTACTGAATTGTTGGTCTTGTGACCATTGTATCCCCAGTATCTAAAACGGCATCTCGGGTAAAAATGTCTAATATTTTGAAATGAAATACTAACAAATAATAATTTCTAAATGGATGCAAGGTCTAAAATGTAATAATTTAAACCACATACATGCTTGAAAATGGAATGGATTATCGTTCTGGAAAGAAGAAACTTTTATAAATGCGTCCAATTTCAAAAGTTAGCTCAGGATTAATACATTTAGTTCTCTAAAAATATGTCATTGACTTACCATGTTGAAAAATGCCATAAACAAAGTCAAAGGCAAAGGACAAGCTGAAGGGAATACTTGTTAATAGTATCCTGCAAAAAGATGCTAATACAAAGAGGATCTAAATATATGCATGATTTCTATTATTATAGTGTAAAACTAAAAAGTGAAAAATTAAAATGCAACAGAGCTCCCCCAAAATTCAACCCAGGTGATACAAATTAACTGTATATCAAATAAACAATGGAACCATCGGAAGAAAATGATTCGTTTCTGTAACTTTAGCACATAGTATTTCGATCACACAGTTCTAATGGATGTACTCTAAAAACAAAGCTACAAAGAAACATTAACTTTTCATGGACACTGGAAACTTTCGAACAGAGTAAAATTTGTATGCTTTTACCACACTAGAGGATAGATGTGGTGAAGTGCTTGACTACAGTAACTTATTTCACTACACGTATCCAAACATATCATGTTATTGTAGCTGGGCCTGCTGGCATATGTCTGTAATCCAAGCGACTCAGGAGGCTGAGGCAGAAGGATCCCAAATTCAAAGCTAAAGCTAACCTAGACAATTTAGAAAGAGCTTGTCTCAATGTAGGAAGGAAGGGAGGGAAGGATAAGGGAAAAGAGGGAGGAGGGAAAGGGAAGGAAGGAAAGAAGCGGGCAGGCTGGGATGTAACTCAGTGGTAGAGTCCTTGTCTAGCGTGTATCAAGTACTGGGCTCAAGCCTCAGTACTGAAAGAAAAAAAAAAAAACCTGGAGGAGTAGCTCAGTGCAGATGCTGTAGGTTCAGTCTTCAGTACATGCACACACACATGCACACACACATGCACACACACAGGCACACACACACGCGCACACACACACACATGAAACTAAAACCAAAAGCATCATATGGTATGCCTTTTATATATACAATAAAAATAATCTTGTTACTCACACTGTTTATAGTGTCTTTTTAAAATTATTATACATAGATTGCATAATAAGGCGTATGATTACATTGCCTTTGGAAAGCAAGATTTCCAGTGCAAAAACACAAGTAAAAAGTCAAATAAGTAAGAAAAAAGTTTTAATCTTTCACTAAAATAATAATCACTATGAAGACACAATTCATTTTTTTCTCTCCCTAAAAAAAATGGATTCTAAGTTTTGTCCATTAAAAAACCCAGAAGAAATGACACCCCAGAAATAACAGACACTCCCAGTACCCTGACGGCAGTCTCTAAGCACACACATTGCAGCATTCTCCTGGAAAAAAATGGGTGGCTCCAAGCATGGGGCAGTGTCTACAGGGTGAGCCTCACACGTCCTGGTGTACAAGGAAATGCTGAAGATACCATGCAATCCAGGGCCATGTCTAAAGGATATGGTAACCAACGTGAAGGGCTACCTCTAGCCTTAAATAAAACCACCTACATGTTATAAAAAAAAAACAAAACCTGTAACTGATCAAATCAAAGAAGTGTATATAACTTCATAGGTTCATAATGATTTTTTTTTAAACTAAAAACTCAGTCTCAACCAGGCGCGGTGGCACACACGCCTGCAATCCCAGCAGTTGGGAGGCTGAAGCAGCAGGATCACTTCAAGTTCAAGACCAGCCTGGGCTACAAAGCGAGCTCAAGGCCAGTCTGAACTGCCTAGCAGGACTCTGTCTCAAAAAGACAAAAAAAAAACCTCAGTCTCTATTTGGGTGTTGTTAACAAGGCCACTCAATATTGTTATAAAGTCTCATAACAGGAAAGGCTCAAACATATATCCCACCTTTCCTGCATGAAATATGTTTCAATATAATGAAATAGTTGGTGATAGGGGGCTTTTATAGAAGTCCAACTAATAAATATAGAAAGAATGACTAAATTTTCAACATTTTGCTACTTAGACCACTGGAACTAGGCAATAAATCATTTATGGAGAATTTTTTTTATTTTACAGAAAAAGAGTAAAACAAAATTTCATAACAAAATAATAGGAGAATAACCATAGTTAATACACTGAATATTTTTATCTCTAAAGTAGTTCATCAGCATACAAGATACGGGCTTAAAAAATTCTCCAAATGATATTAGCACAAACCTTTCTTTTCAATGCTTTGGAGAATTTTTATTTATTTATTTATTTATTTTGGTTTTTCTCCGGTACCAGGAACTGAACTCACGACCTTGCGCTTGCCAGGCAGGCGCTTTTGCCGCTGAGCTAAATCCCCAGCCCTTTGGAGAATTTTTAAATGGAAGGATAGGGCTCTATTCCCCACAAAGGAAGCAAATACATTAATTAATTAAAATTTTAAAATGAACAGAATGGAGGGATCGAGCTGACACTGCTGGGAGCCAGTGGTCAATCTTAGCATCAGTAAAAGTGATCAACTAATCCGCTGCATATCTCTTGGTATGATTCAATACCCACGGAGCGCTCACCACCTGTACCCTATTCTTACCCCTCCCAAGCTTCCCAAAACTGAACTTAAATTCAATGAAGTCTTTAGGTCTAAGTTAATAGTTCAGAAAATGAAGGAAAAGAAAGGGGGAAGTAAGTAAACAGTCTCATGAGGAAAGAGCCGGTCAAATCAAGAACCTGGGTGCACTTATGGAATATGTTATGATTTTATTACAAATCACGAGTATAAAAGACTAGGGGAAACAGAGCTGTTACAGAACTTTAAATATTTGACAGACAAAAGAGCCAAGTGGCAAGCAGCCCTTGCTTGGATCCTGAGCCAAACAAATCAAGTAATTGACATTTTTTTAATTTTGAGAAATTTGAAAGTAGATTTTAAAGGATAATAAGAAACTATTAATTTTGCTAAGTACAGAGGCAGTTTATTTTTAAGTCTTTACTGATTAAAGACGATGTATCTGTAGTACTGATGATGAGATGACATGATTTCCAGGATTTGTTTTTACATATCCTAGCAAGAAAAAAGTATGAGTGGGTGAGGTTTAACAGAAGCGATCTGCTTTGCAAAACACTGAAACCTACTGAAGCTAGATAAGGAAATATGTTTGTGGTCAAATTTTTCCATAATAAAAAAGTTTCAACAGTAATGTGTTAAGGGATAAGCACTTTCTCTGTAATAGATGAAAAATTTCCCACCAGACACACACTAGCACATTCTGGGCTAAGGTCTTACTGATCCCACACCCAGGTAACGGAGCTGCATCACATGTGAGAAACCTGCAGTAATTCCTTCTCCTAACCTTTCAAAGCAAGTACATTTCACAAATGGACAACGTGCAGGAAGAAACACTCTTCATTGTGATGTGCTGGCCAGCACAAACACGCCATGAAACTCGGGGGAAACTGAAGTTCTAAGTTTTGCTAGGCATTTAATTGTGAATTTTAGGTAAATATACTAAGAACTGTTAAATACACCCAATGCTGGAAAATACACAGGATGATTCACATAATCATATATTAATGGCAGTAAAGTTAACTGTCATTCACTCCATAGACGGTCATTGGTTAGTGTGCATCAAGAATTAAATATATATCTCGGTCCTGGGGGTCGATCCATACAAATAATTTAAAGGAGGAAAATACCTTTACAGACATTCATTGCAACACTACTAAAACACCAGAAATAATCTAAATATGCCTAGTGAACACAGTTAGCTGTCTCCAATATCTAGGACCATAAATAAAGCTTCAGGGGACATCTTCCGGCACGTACCATTTTACCTTTTATAATTTGTTTACATAAAATCCTAATGGAAAGATGGCTATTTTTTAAGTTATGGTAAAAACATACTTCTTTTTTTTTTTTTTTGTACCAGGACTCGAACTCATGACCTCAGGCTTGCCAGGCAAACGCTTATGCCACTGAGCCATATCCCCGGTCCCGGTAAAAATATAAAATAATATGGGGAAATGCTTAATTAAAAAAGAATTTGAGGCATTCTATAACTTAGGCATGCATTTCAATATGAGTAAATGTAGAAAAATATTCATAAGAAAAACTGTTATATAGCTTCAACAAGATAATAAGTTATACATGAAATTTTCCATAATCTCCTTGTGCTAGCTTTACATTTAAAAAGGAAAGTAGAATAAACTAATTCATCTTCAAGCACCTCCGGTAGGACCTAGCCATTCTTCCTTCATATACACAGAGGGTTAGGAATTAAGCGGCTAGTTCCCTCCTTCTCACCGGAACACACTGAACTGACCATGAGAGCAGGAACTGTTGCCGTCACTGTAGCCCTGGTACCCACAATAGTTTCATTATAAATGTCAGATGGGTAGACGTGAACGATATTACAGTAGTGAAGGAAGGTGTGACCACTGGCTCCAGAAGTATGCTATCGTTGGAGCCTCCCTTCGC